TCTAATAAAAAAAAGATTTGACCCTATAACTGACTTTATAGGGAAACCCGACTTTAAAAATTAGGAAAAAGATGGTGATATGGAAAAATTGGATGGTAGCGGGGATATTGACTTTGCATCAACTGATAGATGATGAAGATTGTTAACACATTCTGTGCTAAGAAATAAATATCATTATCAGATGTAACCCAATGACAATATTTACAGTTACAATATTGGTTAACAACATTGTTTGGACCAGCAGCATTTTCAGCTTCTGAGATACCTGAGATATTAGAACTTGCTAAATCCTTTAAAACTAAAAAAACTATTAGTTTTTATAGATATTTGGTATCAATAAATCAATTCGATATGCAGATGTTAAGAAATGAGTGGAATAAAAAATTAGAGGTTCCTATATTGTCTAGACAATGGGAGAGTGTTTTAACTTCTGTAGCAAGTGTCAATGGACCTCAAATTATGACTTATACAACAAAAAATAATATTTAGAATGTATTGGACTCCATTACGTTTGTATAGAAAAGAATATTCAAAAACAGCATTTTGTTGGAGATGTAATAAGGATAATGCTTCTTTAAAACATATTTCTACAATGTACTATACTTACTAAGTTTTGGGAGAAAGTAATGGACTATATAGATATGATTGTGCGACAAAAGCTAAAATTTTCAGAGGATAATATTCTTTTGAACTACATACCTAGTACCTGGAATTTGACATCTGGATAATGTAAATGGATTCTCCATGCCCTTACTATGGCCAAAAGACTGATATTGCAGCATTGGAAAGACAAATGTATGGCCCCATTTATTCCATGGATTGAAGACCTGATTGCATTATGAGTGGATTGCCTATAGACGTAGATTTTGTATGGACAAGTATAATGAAATATGAGGCTCATTTATACAAAATACAGTAGATTAAATAAGAAGTAGTACAGTGACAATAAAGATTTCTATTCTATATAAATGTATTAGAAATATATATGTACTTGAATAATAGTAGAGTCCTTGGGGTTCTCTGAGATTGGTTGTTTTCTTGCAGACGTTTCATTACCTAAGTAACATCTTCAGTGGTAGAAGGGAGTGGGGTTTGCTCTCTGTTTATATATAGTAGCTTGCCCTGTCAGTATTGGTGGGATTTTTTTTTCTTGGTAGTTCCTTGATTAGGCTGTTGTTTACTGCTTGATTGTTTGTCTGAGTTGGTAGTTCCTTGATTAAGGTATTGTTTACTGCTTGTCTGGTGTTAATCCTGGTGTTAATCTCTGCTTATCTAGGTGTTGACTGCTGGAGCAGAGGTGTTCTGGTCTTTTTGTTTCCTTTTTATTGTTTCTTTTGAATAATGTATAAATGTTGTTTAACTCTATGTACCTGTTGATGGCTGACTTGTCTGAATACCAAGCTTCCAGGAATTTCCCCACATTATTTGCATTAGATAAGTATATATAGAATTGTAATTGTTTATTGTTATAATGACATATTATAATGGCAAAAGGATGTGCATCTGTCAGATGATCTGAGCCAGGGCCTCATCCCTGGATGACTTGTTCCAGTGAGCAAGTGGCTGGCTCAGAGTGTGGCCCAGAGGACTTGATATCTTAGGGATAGCCCTCATCCCTCATCATTACCCATATCTAGGCAGTGGGCAGGCTGCTGCCAAGGGTCTGGAGATTGAGGCAGCGGCCTTGCCCCCTTAGTGGCAAGATGGGGAAGTTCAGCAAGAGGAGGCTCTGCTAACTCAGCATACAAGTTTGAGTAGTAGGAAATCACTGTGTCACCTGCCCAGGAGACGGGTGCTGGTTGGTGGGCAAGAGATGTACCACAGATTATTTCTTGTGAATGCTGGCTAGATCTTGGCACTAACTGCTCAAACTGGAGCAGGTCTGTCACCTTCATCTGGCTTGGTCAGGTAGCATAGGACAGAACATTCCACACTTCTATCCAAGCCAAGAGATTGGCTCTCTTCTCCCTGGCAATGCATCAAGCAACCTACGCCATGCTGAAGATGGCGTGCTTGGGCCTGCTAATGAGAATCCTATGCCAGAACTGGGTCCCTGGTGGCTGCTACTGAAAGAGGAGAACTGTTGGATGGCCTTACCCCTCCTGGCTGGGATTTTGTCTTCTATCCACTACTTGGGCCACCTCTGGCACCAGGAGCTCTCCTCACCCCTTTTAACTTTGGGTCATGCAGTCTGGCAAGCACAAATGCCTGCTCAGAACTGAAGAGATCAACCAGGGTGAAGTCAGGTTACCAATCTCTTCCATCCTTCAAGCTCAGCTTCTAGAAAGGAAGGAATCAGGCAAAATCTGACTCTACCATGCACTCAAGTGTCTTTGTACTGCACAGGTTGCAGAGATCATGAAGAATGGCTCCAGGGCATAAACTGCCTCTCCCATGAATCTTCACTCCTGGGGATGGGGGTGGCAAGGAGACATCCAGCTGCCATATCATGTACAGCCACCTGCTGTACAAACAGCTGCTTGAGCAACATGGAGGTGGAGGTTCACCAGGTGGGACAATCTGAGGAATCAGGTGTTGGAGTAGGTGGAGCCCCATCTGGTGGTGGTTCAAGTATCCACACTCCCATGGAAATAACCACTGATCTTACAATATAAGACATTGCTGGGAACCTTGATGCCAGCTGGGATGATCCCGCTGCTGGCCCTCTGAAGACTGAAACCATCCCACTCAGATTCATTTCATCAGCAATACTGCTGGTGCCAACAAACTGCACCTGATCAGTTTTATTCATTTATTAGTTTTGCCTACTGACATAAATTGGAAGGACTCCTGGAGGTTAACTCTCCAGAAAATCTCTTAATTAATTTCTAGAAATCTTAAAAAGGGGGTGAACTCAACTTACTGAGCGGTCATCCCTGAAAACCATTTCTAGGTCCCAGCCCTCCTCATGTCCCCAAAGTGGGCATCACCTGGATACACATATCAGGTAGGTCCATACCAGTCGGAGAAGGAATCCTAAGACACCTAGGTGCTAAGCCATCAAAGGACATTAATGTTCAAATCAGCACCTCAAATTTACTTGTCACTACAAGACCTGGCAGTTTCTGCAGGAACCATTATAATTACCAATTTACATTTACCCCCAACAGAACAGTATGCCAGGTTAAAAAAAAAACAGACAGCAATAAACAATATTGATGTTACTTGTTAGTGGCAGCTCAAACTTGTCAACAAATGAGTTGCTGCTCTGTGCACTAAGTGCTGTGTTAGATTCCCATATAGGACACCATGTAGTAATCCAGGCCTGTGGGGATGAAGGTCCCACACGTCCTGACCACGAAGCCATGATTCAGCTTTGGCTGTCCAAAGCGAGCCCTCAACCGTGTACATGGCCCCACTTAGATTGTCACGTGAGCCACCCTCAGTGCTGTGCCAGGGACTTGCCCCATTGGACATAATGGAGCCTACAGCACCATCCCCCTCCACTGGTGGTGTTGGTGAGGATTAAGAAGCCTGTACACCACACTGACTGAGCCAAAGGTCTGAGCAAAGGGGACAAAGCTGTTTAAACTAAAGTGGGGCTATTTTAAAAGCAGGATAATGGGAAAGGGTGGGGAATTTTTTTCCCCCTCTCCAAGTAAAGCTAAATTCTGAATCAGCCATAGCTTCTGTAGTCTTCAAGGGCAGCCCTATAGAGTGTCTTGCAAGTCCAGATGCAAAGTGATTGAGGAAGAGGCAGGACTAAAACTTCAGACTGAGACTCTAATTGTCTGACACTGCTTTCAAGGACCACTACAAGCTTGCAGTTACTGCAGATACTGCCAGCACCTGTCAGATAAAATTTCTCAGATATGCCCCAGGCTGGACTCTGACTTTGAGGCAGGACCCATGGAGCTGATGGAGGCATGGTCACACTTTGTTATCTGGGCTGTGTGTGATTCTGTTAGTCCTGAAGAAGCAACTTGGCTACCAAGCAACTTGGCTACCTGTATCCATGTCCCTCCTGGTTAGCTAAGGCTTCTTGGGAGACAATGCATGGCTGGGCCTAGGAAGTGGTGAATTCCTTCTTGAGAGATGGAGTGGTCCCACCAACACTTACGGAAGCAGTCTGCCCTCTCCTCAAATAGCCATCACTGGTCTCCACCACATGGGACAAATTTTGTTCCATCTTTCCCTTCTCAGGGAGGTGGTTGCGCTGCAGTTTCAGAGCGCCCTGGAGGAAACAGATTATCTGGGCCCCTCGCAGTCAGGTTTCAGGCCTGGGTAAGGGACCAAGACAGCACTGATTGTTCTTATGGATAACCTCTGGCAGGAAGGGGATGGGGGTGGGACATCCATCCTTGCCCTCCTCGATCTCTCAGTGGTTTTTGATACCATCAGTCACAATACCCTCCTGGACTGGCCGTGGCTCTCCTCCTTCCTCCAGGGCCAGTTCCAGTCAGGACCTGAGTGTGCCCATGCCATGCCTCTGCTCCACAAGCCGCCCTGGCTCCTAGTGTGCTTCTGGGTGCTATTCAAGCTGCTGGTCACATATAAAACCCTCCATGGTCAGGCCAGGTTATTTGTAGGGTTGCCTCTCCCTTTTCTACCCACCCCATTAGGTCAGACAGGAAAAGGGCATAGTTCAGGCCCCCTCAATTATCTATGGCTTTCTGTCTCAGTGCCTGCTCTCTGAAACACCCTGACCCCGAGGCTAGATGGGCTCTGGCCCTGCTGGCCCTTGATAAAGCACTGAAGGCCTGGATGTGGTCCAAGGCCTGTGGGTTAGGAGGTTAGATGCCTGCCGAGAGGTTTTAGTTGATTGTTTTGCACGGGTTTACCTTCAGCAACCATTATAGGATTTTACTCTTTTAAAATTATTTTTAACCTGTTGTTAGCTGCCCACATTTACAAGATGGATGGCCTTATACACTGATTAAATGTGCAAGCAAGGTTGTTCTCGGGCAGAAACACAAATGTGCCATGGGCACTGCAGAGCACAACTACAGATTCCCACCCATTTGCTTTTGTTACTTAAAGGTTTGCCACCACTAGGATTTTATTTGTTGTTTTCTTTTCTGGCCCAGCTGCAGCATATTGAACAAACCCAGTGAACTGATCTCAGGAAGAGCTGTCAGAGCAATTGAGAGCTGACCCTCTTAAGCCTAGGAGTATGCCACTCATCTTTGTGCTCAGGTTTGCCCAATTTCTCTGCTAGCAGTTTGTTGAATACTCACAAAAAGCTTCTCCATGAGAAAGGCTCAATTGCTAACATCTTCATAATCACCCTGTGAAAATGGAGGGGCAAGCAGGAAAAAAAGGTGTGTACTGGGGGAGTTTGAAAACTGTTTTTATAGCAATATTGGTATTTTAAGAGACACACTCCTCTCTGACTACTGAGATTCCAGGTGGAAGAAAATAAAGGTATCTATTTTGTTTTCTGCATCTCCAAGTGCAAAGAGAAAACTTTTCCTCATCTGGAGAAAAACAGATGCAGCCCTCTTGGTCTGTCCCATCAAAAGAACTCAAGAGGCACCCCAACACCACCCCTTGGAATCCAATGGAAGACTCCCAGGGTCCCAGCATAGGAAGACTAAGGTTACCTCTCTGCAGCATGGGGCAAAACCTTTTCCCCATGTCCTCTAGTCATCTGTTGGTGTTTTTTTATCCCTCCTTTTTAAAATATATTTTAGTCAACTCAAGGCAGCAATACTGTCTCCTCTTGTCCCCAAAACAACCCTGTGAAGTTGAGAAGAAGACTGAGAGGGAGGGGCTGGCCCAAAGTCACCCAGCTGGCTTTCATGCCTAAGGGAGGCCTAGAACTCACAGACCTCTGATTTTTAGCCAGCACCATAACCACATCACCACACTGGCTCTCTTGGAGGTTTGCAAGAGAGTAGCTAGGACTGCCCAAGGCCTAAATCCTTCAAGAGCAAACATATATTTGGATCCTCACCTATAATTTGCTTTTCCTTGAGAGCTGGTAGGGAAATGGCATATGGCAAGAGAAGCTATCTGTCAAGCCAGAATATAACCCAGAGCTAGCTGAAATCAGTAGAAAGTGCTGCACAAAAGATGGGCACAGGGGAAGGAGATGCAAGGGTTTACCAAGGAAATTGTAAAATTCCCCCTGGAAATCCATTGGAAATACAAAGGGGACTCTCTTACTGACAGTGCCTATCTGTCTGGGAGGTAGGAAAGAAGACAGGGGCTCCACGTCTGAGTAGTTTTAGTGTGTGACCCTCTGTGCTGGGCCACCTGGACTCCTTGTCCCAGCCAGGTGTCACCTACAGAATGTCTTCCTGAGGCAGGAATGCAGCTCTTCTTGGAGAGGCTGCCACTGTTTCTAAAGGAGGGGATGTTCTTGAATGAATGAATCCAGTCCACCAAATCATCCAGCCCTGCTTTGACCTTGTCCTCTCACAAACAAGTCCTCTTGACCTGTAAGATGTCAAGGCCCAGCCCTCCAGATGTTGCTCAGATCCAGGCGGACAGGAGACCAGTTCAGATGAGTCCCAAAGGAGAAGCAGTTGCCGCCCCCACCAGTAAGAATCACCTCCTCTCTGTCAGGCATGAAGACACTGCTGTGGTTGTGCAGCATCAGAGGCCACTCCAGAAATGTCTGAGATAGAAAGGAGCAAGAGGCAACTTTAGAAACCAGGGAGTTGAAAAACACAAAAGCAGCAACTGGGCAGATCTATCTACTCTACCCCACCCTTGCTAACTGATAAAACGTAGGTAAGCAGGCTTCTGGTTCTAAGTTATCACTGAGTTACAGGAAATGTGAAGTAGACTGGTACACTTCACCTTTGATAAAGAGCCCAAGATGATCCAGGTGCATCAAATCACAGAGAAGCACTTCTTGCGAAGTTTGTTTTGTGTGATCTGCTTTTGTTCCTCTTCTTCCCCAGCAGCCAGCAGTATCCCTTTCCTAAGAGGTTTCCAATCCTGGCCGTGTTTCTGTTCTCAAAGGGTCTCTTTCCTTTTTGGCATGGATGGCCTTGTATGTTTCTGTGCTCCTGCTCCCTTTCTCTCTGCAGCTCTGGATATTCTGGGATGCACTTTTGGGAGTATCTGAGCTACGCAAGTCTTGCCTCCTCCTGTTACTTAGATCCCATTTCTGGGCTCTCGGAGACAGAGGTAGTGGCTCCTGCTGTTCAGCTGTTCTTGGCCTGTCTGATACTTCAACCAGACCTGAAACCACAGCAGGCCCCCAATATTCTTTTCAGGTGTCTGTTCCCTGACATATGATTTATCAATTCAAAACTGCATCGGTAGTGAGGTGAAGGAAAAAAGACCATGAGAAAGTGGGAAAATGAGAGGTGAAAAGGCACTCAACTCCCCTTTTGGCTCAGTCTTAACAAGAGGGGAACTGTATTCCCTCCAGCAGTTGTGAAGAGCAGAATGAAAGTGCAGGATCAAACATGGCCTGGGAACACCTGCCTTCTTTGAATAAATGTAACTCTCTTGGGCCAGAAGAACTGCATCCAAGGGTACTTGCTGGATCCATCATCTTCTGCAAAAGACAACTGATCTAATGAACCCAGTAATTCAGTTACTGAGGAACAAACTACCAGAATCAATACCAAAAGAGCAGGTGCAGCCTCTCCTGACCGAGATGTTTAGCCTCAGTGCAAAGAAGGGTCAAGGGGAACCCCAAGTCTATCTTTTTTCTCCCTTCAAATTGTCTCAAAGCTTCAACTCACTGTATCAATACAATACTCCGTAAGAACTCTTGTCGCCAGGTCTATCACAGCAACGCCAGGCACTGAAGGAGCACTGAACCAGACCCCACCCACAAGCAACAGTTTCCCACGATGCACGTGAGCTGTGTGTGAATACCTGGATGGAAGACCAAAAAAAGATGGTGTTAGTCCTCTAGAGGTAGGTCAATTCCAGCTTCTCCAGGGCCCAACCCCCCCTTCAAACATTTCATTTGTTTGGGGGTTCTCTGCCACTTTGATGAAACCAGACTTTGCTCCTTGAAAAGCAAGAGATGTGAGGTTCTCATTTGTATTCTATGGAAAGAGCTGAGACCCAGCCAGACCTTTTCATTCAGGAGTAGCTAGGATTTGAGAGTAGGGGAGCTGGGGCCAGAAGGAGACATTTCTCAGCAATGTCCCTATATTACAGAACTGCCCTTCAGGAGAATCAAGATTAGCCATTGTTAAAATGGAACTTTTCTGGAGGGCTTTTAAAATTTTACTTTATTAAAGGAATGCCATATATGTTCCCTACTCCTCTAAAATACACACATTTTATTGCTCTTGCAACTATTGTATTTAATGACTGTGGCTATTTTGTTTATATATGTTGCTATTATCTTTGTACGCTGTCAAGAATCACTTGATTATGGCAGTTCAAAAATCCAGCAAGCAAGCAAATAACAGATGCAGTAGATCCTCAGCATGTTACTGCAGGGCAGTTCAGCCTGGCACCCCAGGACAGACTTCCAGGCTCATACCAGGCTCCTGCCACTCAATGTTCCTACAGAATGCAGGACCAATGGACCAGTGGGGGCTACTCAGAGCATCTACGGAAGAAGAGACTATTTCAACATCCAGGACTAGCGATCCATCCACTTTAATTTCATTTTATTATCTGGGGAGACATTGGGGGTGGGATGTTAGTTTGGGAGCTCTGGTATGGGTGTCAATGGCTTGTGCTTCTACTGAGCTTCAATGCAGTTTTAGTTGGTTCCTGCTTTAATGTAATTTGCTGTTTTTGTTTGTTTGCCACCCAGAGTTTTTGGATAGATGGGAGGTCGTATAAATCGGATTAATGAATAAATTTGAAATTATTTCCCCAAAGGCAGTAAAAATCAACAGTTGCTGCCTGGCAAGACTAAGGAATTCTTCCAATTCATGCAATGACAGACACCTTCAGCCTCGACTCTTATTGCATCTCCTCCCCCTTGCAACACAGAGCTTTACGCAGTGCCCCATCTGCCAGGCTGCTGCCGCCACCTGCCTCAGAAACTGTATGGAAAGCCTAGGGGGGGGGAAGAGGAATGCAGCCCCCTCACCATCCTAGCCTCAGGGCAGGAGCCATTTGGTCACTTTTCCTTGGTCCCGAAAACAATATCAGGAAAGCTGCGGTGCCTTTCTTCCTCTTTGATCACTTCAGGAAATAGCTGTAAGGCAGCACTGGAATCTGGGCTTTCTGCCCAAAAGAAATCTACTCTTTACCTCTCTTCCTGGTCAAGGAGTCTTTTCAAAAGAAATTCTTCTGAACCAGGACTAGGCAGGTTACCTTTTGTTGTGAGTAAACAGGAGCAAAGCCAACATGCGTAACAAAACCTCGTTACCTTTCCACTGAAAGGGACCAGGCGAGAGCAGGGGATAGCGCGCATCATCTCCTTTCCTTCTGTGCAAGAAAGCATGGAAGTGTGCTAGAGAGAAAGGGCCCTTCACTGGAGCACGCAGAGCTGCTCTTCAGCTCGGATCTTCCGTGAGTTCAGAGGTACCTGGACCTCCACAAGGCCCAGTGAGGGAGGACCTAACCTGAGAGGGCATCCACACATGAGCAGCTTTGTCAACAGATTCGGTGATCGGTAGCACATAACCAATGATCAGATGAATGAAAGAAGTTGTGATAAAATGCTGTCTGTTTGCAGACGTGATTAAGAAAAGAATCCAGCCAGAACCAACAGAAACAGTTTAGAAAATACTCCATTCCAGACCAGTGGTGCCGCAGCGAAGGTGGACAAAGAATGGCTGGGAAGGTGAAAGAAACGAGACCCAGCATTTAATAGCTAAACTGCTCATTCTGATGAAAGTACTTTGGACTGCCAGCATCTGAAGATGATGTGGGTGAGACCAGAAGAAAAGAGTTTGCCCCATGTCTCGCTTCCAAATAGGGAGTACAAGTGTAATAATGTCCAAATTTGGACATCAGAGCTCAGCCCATTGTTCTGCTGAGTACTCTAAGAGGAGAGGGGAAAAGAAGTTACTTTATTCAGCTCTCTCCAACGATGTTCTTGAGCTCCTGGCACCTTCTCATCAGCTTTCATTGTCACGGGTAGAGAGCTCTCCTTACATCTGAACTGAAGGGTAAATCTAGACCTAGCAGAGCGGGTATGTTGCGAGTTCTGTCGCCTTGGGAGCTACGTTTGGCAGGCCCTGGGTGGCGGGCCTTTCTGCTGTGGCACCTGCATTGTGGAACCTTCTCCCCCCAGAGATGAAATCGGCCTCATCATGCCTTAGTTTTCGAAGGTCCTTCAAGGCCTGTTTATGTCGGCAGGCCTGGGGACCCCAGGGGACAGGTGAACTAGTGAGGTGGCTCCAATGTTATTAACGTCCCTTCGCCTATTATTTTCCTTTTCTGTTTTAGTTTGTTCTTGTACTTTTTAATGTTTTTAATAATTACCATATTTGTTTTATTGGACTATTGTACATCACCCAGAGTCACTTTTTAGGCAGCCATATAAATTTGATTAATAAGTAAAAATAAAAATAAAATGTAAATCACCTTGTAGACCCTGGTATTTTAATTCTTCTTGAGTAGGAGCAACGAGACAGAAAATTCGTATTATGTCTCATTTTTCCTTACGCGTGTAACCTGTAACTCACCAATCGCTGCAAGCAATGTGGTTCAGGGCCGGGTTACTTATGGGTTACTGCCTCTCTGTGGCGGTTGCTACCCATCTTGTCTGGTTGGGAGGAGGGGTGCGCTCTGGGTCCCAACTGCTAAGCAGGGTCAGCTGGCAGGCCCAGGAGGAGAGCCTTTTCTGCTGTGGCATCCACCCTCTGGAACATCATCCCTCCAGAGAGTAGATGGCCCCCGTCCCTGTTGGCCTTTCGTAAGGCCTTGAAAGCTTGGCTCTGTGCTTGAGCCTGGGGCTCCAGTATGTGGCTGAGCCTGTCTCTTGGCTGTGCTGAATGACTGACTGAGGCTTTTGTGATTTTTCCTGGCTGTTGTGTGTTTTATGCTTTTTCTATAGATTTGATCTTTTCTAATATTGTTAACTGCCCTATTTGAGTTGGGTGGCCATATTAATCTAATAAAGTACCAATAGAAGCAAGTAGGGTTGAATTGTGGAGTCCTTGGGGTTCTCTGAGCTTGGTTGTTTTCTTGCAAACGTTTCATTAGCCAGCTAGGTAACATCTTCAGTGCTAGAATGGGATGGGGTTTGCTTTCTGTTTATATATTGTGGCATGC